CGCTACAGTTTCATGTATATAAAGTAGTGAAAAAGGTGTCTTGGGGCACTTTGACATTAGAAATACTTTCTGTAAAATCGTGACAAGTGGGCGACTTATTCAACGGTGAGGATTCTATGATGAACGTTTCTCATCTAGCCACTACGATAAATACACGATTCTATACAGAACTTCCCGCGCTACAATTGCATAAAAGTAAAGTCACCCGCTTGTCATGGTTTTGCAGAAAGTATTTCTAATGTCAAAGTGCCCCAAGACACCTTTTTCACTACTTTATATACATGAAACTGTAGCGCGAGAAATTCTCTGTCGAATGGTATATTTATCGTAGTAGCCAGAGGAGAAAACGTGTCATAGATTATCTTAGACTTTTTGCACATAGAGGATCTTTTTCCATATTCGGAAGTATTTCTAAACATACCTGGCCTCAGAACGACTATTTCCGTTTATGTGATATACAGAAATATAGCGCAGAAATAGAGGTTTCGAGTGACAGATAACAGTTCTAGTGAGGTATGAAGCCGAGGGAGGCACACTCAAAAATATGATCTATAATACATATTATAAGGAGCAGAAATTTGATTATAGTTAATTCGATCCAGTTTTTTCTGAGAGCAATTCTGAGGTCTGCCGAGTGCCTAGAAATGTTCTCCAGTTCATTCTGCATCTAACCATGTATGTGTCGATGGAATTCAGGCAGAGTCGGGTTTTTGGAGGTAATGGGTTTTTTAGAAAACCCATTACCTTCTTCCATTACATATTATTTAATTATTTAAAAAAGTAGTGGAGAGTAACGACAGGTTAAGAGTAAAACTGCGGTTTCTGATCAAGATGTTAGTGATTGTTCAGGGATGCCAACTAACGCGAATAGTAAAAGTAAAGGGAGACAAATTAAGAGAAAAGTGGAACGTATGGCGGACTTCTTTTCTACAAAGGAAGACAAGGCACATTATTTGTCGCACAATATCATCGAAAAATTAAAGAAACATCAATATATTCTTTTTTCTATTGAATATATTTCTATTGTTCATTGGACTTTCCGCATCACTACGTCACAACATAAAATTTAATACAACTATCTTTTTTCACACAAAAATCACTAAATGATCAATTCAAACGTTATTTTTACTAATGTGTTCATATTTTCACTTCCACAAATACTCTTATTAGGAACGTCTTTGTTAATCAAAATCATAGATCATAATCACAATCATGAGAATTATTGCACCTTAAATTTGTATTCATTCTAATTCTCAGTTCTGCGTTTCTGAACTTTTTCTTATATGAAACCTCACATAAGAAAAATGACTAAACGCTAAAGATCTGTTGCGTAATACAAAAGTGAAAAGTCCATTGAAGACGGCCAAAAGAAAATATCCTTGAAAAGGGGAACATCCTGGAGGACAGATTTTTGCGGGCGATAAATCTTTAAATGTGAGACTGTCGTCCTTATGGGGAGACATCTGGCAACCCTGGTCATGACGTCTTTCAGGTTATATATTTGATACTATAACGGAGTGTTTAACTTCCACTAAGTGTGATGATGTCTTTTAACGTATCTCTGAATAATTTGAGGGTAGTTTAGCTAACGCGTAGGTAATGCTAAATAAAGTATGAGATGGTTAAAAAAAATATCTATATGATTATTCATTAGTCAAAGTTCTAGATGTAGAATTTATCATGAGTTCAACATTTTTCTGTATAGTTCAATCTCTTTCTATATGATTTTGTTACAGTCCATCTAGCAAACGTTTTCACCTTGATTTCTTTTTATTTGTTTAAAGTATTTTATCCAATTATGTGTTTTCAATTCAACTGCACAAGGAATTATATATATGTATATGTATATCCCGTTCTCTCAATTTACATAACAAATCAATGTTGAAATGCAAACAATGGTTAATTCCTTTTTACTACCTATAACGAGAGGGATTAACATCATCGTTGATTAATGAACATATTTAACATAGAGTAATTTGTTGTATTTCCTCTTTTAAAGCTTATTTCTATTAGACAAGATGTCACATCGTTTTTTTTTCGTTTTTCGTAATTTATGTAAACATTAGTAGAGAACGATATATAAAATCTTTTATTACATTGCATAAACCCATTTGTAAATTATTATTTTCTTTTTTTTAAATAAATGATAGAGACCAAGAGAGCGTTGATAACTGTGTTTAATAAGATTTGGGGAAGATAGACTTAATACAAAAATATCTTCTGTCCTTGATAAATAAACGTCAGCTAGACCTTGACGTATCTTAACTAAGAATTGAAAATGATCTATCTAGGATAAGAGAGTAAGGTGAAAAGAATCTTTCTAGATTGGCCTATCTAGGCTGAATAAAAATTGAGTATATAAATTACTTTACTTAAAATAAACATTTTCATCTTTTATAAATTGTTATTCAAGACCTAAATTCAAAAATATTTACGTTTTTCAAATTAGTTTTCTTCAATTATTCAATTAATATTAATTAATTTAATTAGTTTTTAAGCAGAAGTAAGTCTACGAAAAATTTTGTTGATCATTTTTTGTAAGTGTTTAGATCATATCACTCATCATTTTTATTCTCCCTTTTCATTATCGCTCTTTTACCATCCTAACTATATCCAAAGTTTGTCTCTACTTCTCTCACATAAAGAATATACATTGCTATCTCTTACACATACGTACATAGCATAATAGTATATATAAAAAATAAATTACATCGTCGTATGCACAAAATTGTTATTGGTATAGATGAGTTCAATTGATGATATTTAATTGGAAAAGGAAAAAAATAAATGACGCGTCTATTTCTCTCTTTTTCAACTATAGAATATAAAATTATGAAACTTTGAAACAACAATTATTTTTCACATGAAAGTAAACGAGTGATCTACTAGAAAAAAATATATTATTATGTCATCAAAATCGTGTAATTCTTTTATAACAAATGATTTAATTCAAAATATTCAAAATCGTTTTAATAAAAAAACGAGTAGACCACCACCATCTTCTTCTTCAACTGTTCGCACCTATAGTCTACATGATATAAAATCAAGAATTAATTATTTTGAGAATAAATTAACGGATGAATTACATTCATTGACAACAACAACAAATTTATCGAATGCTGATAAAGGTACTAGTATTTCTAAATATCATTTGCACTTGTTATCTTCTATTACCAACTATCCCTTCTAGCATGCCAATTTGCCTCTTTATAGTGTCGGATTCTCCGATAGTTGAGTCGTATTTTCATTAAATAGTTCTTAGAAGACTGAGTAAACCGACTTTACCAGATCAACGTGTGACAAATTTAAATATTGCTAGGTTTCTCATTTTTAAAGAGAATAGTGAAACAACAGCAACAATCACTGTCAAAAAACGTCTAAAATCTCTTGAATGTAAACAAACACCGGAAACATTGCAAAATGTTCTCGTAAATACATTAGCAAACACATGTTTAAAAGAGTCATATGGGAATGCATTAAGTCGAACAATGAACTCTATAGCATCATCACGAAACAATCATAGTTTATCTACTAGTCGTTTAAACAAAATGATTATGAATCGTACGCGTACATTATCATACGATGGGGCTTATAGTGGTGGTGGTGGTGGTGGTGGAAGAAAACAATTGTCAAATAGTTTGTCGGAATTAAGTGCTTTATCAAAAGATGATATTGAACGAACAAGTGATACATTTGTATCGAATGTTGACTTGGAAAATACTTATTTCTATCCATATACAGAATATGATGATGGAGCAACGTCTAAATTATACGATGATAGTCAACAGACAACAAATGATCTTTATTCAGGAGCTGTAAGTTTAACAACGATAACATCGGATCATCCATCTAATTCAACATTAGCCACATCAAATTCGGAAAAATTCTGTAAACAACATCAATATAAACAATCTGATGAAAATACATGCTTAGAATATTCAGATGGCGATTTTGAACAAGAACTTTTGTATCAGTCAGATATGGACGATATCTCCGAAACAACCACAACAATCTCGGCAGCAGCTGCCAACAACTCTACTGCAGTCAAACAACGAAAAATACGAAAAAATGGCGAAGTTCCAGCACAAGAGCAAGACAATGAAGCGTATGATATTAGTATACAATTCGATATATTGGCAAAAGAATATGCCAATAGCCAGTCAAAAGAGGATGTGCAGCACAATCCGTTAGCGTTGGCTATTTATCTTAGCACACCAAGTGAAACAACAACAACAATTTCAGCATCAGAAAACGAGTAAGTTTTTATTCCTATCTAAAGTCGATCTACTTCAAAAATCTTTCTCATATAGTTATCAAACGACATTGAACACGAAATGTACTATTGATGATAATGGGCTATTTATAAACAAAATAACAGATTCGTCACCATCTGTTAAAATTTGTCTAAATCTCTCACAAGTCAACGCAATTTCTCATGGAAAAGTCAGTATGTGCGAATCTGAGAATACTGATGATCTAAAAACTTCTGCTGATCGAGAATTAAAGACTATTGGTTCTGTTGATCGAGAATTAAAAACTGTTGATTCTGTTGATTGTGACGATAAACAAAGTGATTTTTCTGGTCTTGTTCATGCTACTATATTAGAAATAATGCCTGAAAATAATTTATCTGATTATGATAACATGAATACAAACGATGAAATCTCCTTATCTTCGTCATCACCAATTACGAAGATTATTAAACAACAAAGTAAGAGCAACAACAACGAAAATAGTACTGTAAGATCAAATGTAGACACGATGTCTATAACATTAAATAATCATCATAGGAAGATCAATAACATTTTATCAAATCATAGTATGAATATTCAACATTTATCAACGGAGGATTTACAACTTCGCATAATTGATCATGCTAAACATTTTAATGAGAACAATGATTTTATTTCAAGGATTGATCATACAACAGATGAACAAGATAATAGTTCAGAAGAAACAAACGAAATGAGGTAAGATTTCTTTCGTTTATTCAATAGCAGATTTTTGTTAGCTAGAAATATAGTTTTGGATGGTTTTTGTCATATTTACAAAGGCACTAGTAGCTCATGATTATTAAGAATTCACTAGATAAGTTTCTAACTCGAAAGTTAACATATGTTATTTCACAAATCTAAATTACATATAAAACAGTTTGCAAAGAATTATTCGTGAAGTTTCAAATTGGTTTTTTCGATTTGTTTATTCAAATAAATCAAAAATGAAGCACAAATTCGATTTCTAAGATAGGCCATTAAACTCGAAGAGACTCGGTTATTAAGTGACCATAAGATTCTTTAAAATGGTAGTATGACTATACAATTTATTTTGGTTTATGCCCAAACTTCGCGCACTCATCTACACCCACCACCTTTAAATTCTTTGATTTCCATTTGAAATTAATTAAAAGTGTGCAGAGTTCGGGAAGTAACGTTTGTTTTCAGCATTAGATTGACAAACAAGAATAGATCGAATCGATTACATGAAATATTATCTTGATAATGAGCTCTCATCCTCCTATTTAACATCAGCAGTTTCTATAAGTAGAAGATTATTGGGATTAGATACATATAAAAAAACGAATGATAATAATGATTGGGTTGTTGTCTCTATTTTGTTTTTGTTTGACATTATGTAAACTATTCGACTCTATCCTTCGATAATAGACTTGTATGTCCCTTCTTCTGCCGTTTGAGACATTATTATCGTCTTTATCGTGGACAGTATACTATTGTTTATCCGCTCATTTTTTTTTCTCCATTAGTCAGAAAAAAACAAAAAAAAGCAAATGTTTAAATTATGCAACTAAAATATTGGATATTTTTGCGTCTACTATTTGTGAACAGATTACGGAATATTTCGGAGAGTGTTTATGTAAGTGGATGCGTGGGTAAGTGTGTATTGAATATTAGTCAAACCGAATAAAACATTCATAACCTATGCTGCTTTACATTAAAATATGACTATTCTAGTGTAAGTTATAATTTCATTTGATTTCTTTTTCTACAAAAATTAGCTAATGATACATAGTCCCTTCTAATTTCATTCAGGATGCCGTTTTCTCTTTCGGTACAAAGATATCTTTTGAAAATTGAATAATACAGGATTAGGATTCTTAAAACAGTATAGATCAGATGATTTCAAATGGTGTGTATATTATTATAATAACAATTTGATTGACAATGTTTGAATCATTAATTTATATTTTTATATGATTTATCTATAGTTTTCCACATCTTACACCATATTTTTCTAAATAATTATAACATTCATAGATGAGTAAAGATTCTAACCTGAAAATCTTTCGAAAATCAATGAATATGAGCAAGAAGAAGACAGATTTGAGGATAGAAGATTTAAAAAAGGCTTTTCTTTCTAACTCTAAGTTCTTTTATACTTTATACAATAATCAACGGAGAATGATGATTAAAAATTTGTATAGTGTGACTGACTAAAGTTGCATCTGTAGTTTTAGTTTCAATAATGAGATGTCCGACACTGATGACACGCAATATTCAACATATCTAAACTCATCGTCTAATTGAATGAATCAATCTAATTAGAGTTGCGAATTTTGAGAGAGAAAAAACAGTTTCTATTGTACTAAAATTCTTAACTGGAGTTGAAAAATTATTGTTCGAAAATCGAGACATATTTTAGAAACAACTTATGAACTAAAAGAAACAGAGAATAATGCTGACGAAAATGATGAGAACATAAGAATTCAACGAATGGATTCTCCAAGGTAGCTTTCAACGTTCTTAGCATACCTTATTTTTCTCATTTTAAAACAAAATCCTTAACTCTTTTTATTTGCATTAGATGACAAAATTGATAAAATAGGATGTTGATTTTTAGTTTTTTAACTATCAGTTATAGTTCTGAGATAATTAAAAGTTAAGTCGTGACAGAGTATATTTAGACAATGTCGTACGAACATGTCCTATAAAAAGTACGCTATATTTCTCTCATTCTTTTTTAATTTTTCTTTTTTTTTTTTGAAGAAAGCAGAACAGCGAAACAGACTTGAATGTAGAGGAAAGCGAGACTACATTATTTACGAAGTGAGGAAAAAAAAGGGATGAAAAAAAAGTTATATTGAGGTCAAACAGAAAAATGTTTTTCCGTCTACATTTTACATCAAAGATGAATGAGATTTAGTGATTTAAAAAGAATTTTAGATTCATTAAAGATTGAATTTGATAGACGTAAAGAAGTAAGTGTCTAAAGCTTAAAAGAATTGTAATGTATATATTTTTTTCTCATTGTCACCCAGGGCATACAGTCGAAAAATATCGATAAACTAGACATTTACATCAATAAACGATATTGTCGTTTCGAAGGGTGACTGTATCGAGTGATGCTATCTAATATTTCGAGTCAGAAGAGTATATAAGACAAAAATCGGTTTCGGATTACATCAACCATAGACGGGATAATTTTGAAATGGTACTGACCGTTACTGATGTATACTCACGCTAAATCTCTAAACTGATTATTTTTAAGATTGCTTGAATTAGATTAGATACGATTTTTTGTGAACAGTATATATAATTTTTAGAGAAAGGCTTCTATCACTACTCTTTGAGCTCGATGATGTAGCTCTATATACATATGTACTGTATACCTAATAAGTAAATAGAAATCAAATTTACTATTTCTATGAAAAATAAAAATATAACCTTGTTCAATCATCATTTAAATTTGAATTCTTAAACGTAAGATAATTTCTTTTTAAATGGGTCATTGTCAATACATTGCATTTTGAAACATCAAGGTCTTACAAAATAGTTTTCATTTCATTTTTATTATAAATAAACTTTTATGCAGTTATACCTTTTGAAGAATAGCAACAACTAAAAAAAAAAAAACCGAAGAAGTATGTGTCGAAATTTGTAACTTTACTTTAGCTTATCATTCATTACTTCCTATATCTTTTAAAACTATAGTAGCTACTCTTTTGAATTTATATTTTTTAACATTTAATAAAATATAAAACAGTCGTTCAATTGTTCAAATATTGTTATCAGTTCTGCAAACAATTTTGTTTTGTAAAATTTCTTTTTTTATTGTGTCACCATTGTCATTGAAATTGTGTATAGTTTTGTTGTTGATAAAGAGAGAGTGTATCCTAGAATCGAAAACTCGTTCAAATTTTATGACAAATTTTTATTTTATTTGTCTTGTTGTTTTCAAGTGTAAGCATATATATATATATATATGTTATTGAACATACATCTACTTGTTCAATATAGTTTGATGAACGCATAATAACGGTCTATTGACATTTCATACATAGACACACACACACACACGCATAAATATTGAAAATCTACCAATAGATTAATTTCCGTTTTTTTTAGTTAACAGATTATATCAGACTGAACTGATCAAATTGTTTTTCACCTTATTCGGAATATCATAGAGAAGAAGTCCGATTTACAAAATTCTAGATGATAATAATATATTTAATAGTACAATAATTATTCTTTCTCTATTTTTAGGTATTGTTCTGACGCTAAAATCAATAATAGTAGTAGTGGTATCAATTTTGAAAGTGAGACAACTGATAATAGTAGTACAAAATTACGACAACAAGCACTTTGTGTAACACGTGTACGTTGTAAACGTCGAAAAACATGGCTACGTGATAATTCACCATTAACAAAAACAAATTTCATCGATTATTGTCCATATAATCCAAATTACATACCATTTGAAAAAGAAGATTTTGAATTATCTCATGAACAACAACAACAACAGCAACAATCACAAAATAAAAAAATAAAAACAACATCATCTATTTTTAATTCACAACAATTATCATTGGAAAATAATACTACTACAAATAATTTTCTACCATTATCATCGATTGATGCTAATAATAGTGAATTAATATCAGACAAGAGTAATAAGACATCACCAGTAATCGATGAAATTACTAATTTATTATCAAAATTTTCTAGCAAATCTCATAAAATAGCCAATGAAACAGGTAATAATTGAAAGTTTATTAGAAATAGTATATGTAGTTTTGGTATAGAAAAGCTTTACAAGTATATGATTATACGCCTTTTTATTACATTATCTTAATTTTATTATTTGTAGACCGGTAAATAAGCACCACTTGATTATTTTATTGTCAAATTGACTTGTTCAATGAGACAATTGAAGTTCAAGACTTTTAAAAACATTTTTCTCAGTTGAACTTAATCTAAAATTCAAACTCCAAACAGAAGAATCTTTCTTTCTCTTTCTCTTATAATTTGTACAAAGTCTTTTTTGAATATTGATTGGTAATTTCTTGTGATCATCCTACTCAATAAACAAAATTTTTTGCGCTTTATAATTAAAAATCTATTGTTAAGTTTATTATATGTATATACACATCATTGACCACTTTCAAATCGACTAAAAGAAAAAAAGAGAGAGAAGAATAGTTCAGGTGAGTATAATAGTTTACGATTACAATTTTATATGTTATAGTTTGTTCAAAACGACAGTATGTACCTGTTAATGATCAACAACTACTATCATCATCAACAAAAATGATACAACGTCAAAATAGAGCAAGGTTAGTGATTATTTTTTTGTTTTTTCTTTATATTTAAGGTTTCTTAAAAATATAAATATAGAGATCTGATTAATATGAATTCATGCGTATACGAACAAAAGAAGAGAAAAAAAAAACACCGAAATCGATAGCAGTGTGATTATAACAATGAAAGAATACAATTATTCATTTTTTTTCTTATGTAATATTCATATGTATGTGTACAATGTGCTACTTGGCGTATTTTATCATGCATAAAATAATTGTAGTTGTTGCATCATCTGTTCACATATTAGCATTTTCAGAAACATCGTCTGAAATATTTTACTAGAACAACTATTGAATGAACGAAATAGATTGTGTATAAGTCTGTATTTTGACAAATGGAGAAGTGCTGTTATGCAGTATTAAGAAGTAATGGCATGAGAGTTTAGAATCATTAAAAATGTTTATATTTGTTGTAAAAAAACAAATGTTTTTGAACATCTTGTGTCCAATTCGAGTTGAATTCTTCGGAATTAGACGTCAGCATATGGATTTGGCTATGCTGACAATTTTAGCTTAACATAATTGAATCGTTTTCAAGTTATAGATGACGTAAGATGAAAAGAACTTCCATTTTTTAACTAAAATAGGCTGTGATTTTTTTGTGGTCCGTCCAATCATTGAAACAAAAAAAAGTTCATTTGACTACGTTTAGCTGTTGCTGAAATAACAGTATCAAATTAAGTATCAGTACCGTCAAAATCAATGCTAACGAGGGAATCTATGAAGTTGACACCCTCTGTTTTCCATGATTTATACCTCAATCGATAGAGTATATAGAGCTAATAAAAATCCTAAAAGGATTCATTCCCATGGTGCTTTGTTCAAAAGTTATAGCATTTTTTCGTTTTCAAGCCTCGGGGACTCGAAAACTGAAAATTCAGTAACTCAGCCAAAACTTTGCTGAACTCTGTATGACTCACCCCGTCGTAAGAAAATATGCTGTTATTATATTGACAGACATGAGTTTTTGAAGGAAATTTTGTTTTTTATCTTTTTGCATGGTCGTTTTTTTTTGCGAAATGTGAACGAGATGATCTAGAGAACTACGCATCGTAGAGAATTTCTGGAAACGGGAGATTGTTTTTTGGATACTGGAGATTGGTCCTTGAATGTTGTTTTTTTCAAAAACGGTATGGATTCAGCCCCATAAGGCCCAGAAGTGGAAGAAAAAATATGTCAGAAATTTATAAATTTTTCATACATGTGACTACTTCGGCGGCGCTATTTGCTATGAAGGAAAAGACTTTTACTTTATTTAGACATCTTTGTAGTGCAATGCCAGATGCATGATCTAGAGAACCAAGCTACGTAAAAAAGTTTTGAAAACGGGTAATGATCTTAGTATTAAAATGCTTATTTTCTCCGAATACGGTCTGGTTTAAACGGCAAAAGCTTCAGACGTGCAAGAAAAATGTGTTTTAGGCTTATTAAATTTCCTCTGATTTTAATAGTTATTTTCCCGGCGCCAGTTATTTGTTCTGATTTTCTGTACCTTAGAGTAATAAACAAGAAAAAAGAATTCAATTTAATTCAATTTTATTTAATCTATGATTTTTAAAAGCTGATAAAAGTGATGAAAACATATTCTCCTGTTCAATCCATGGCTATAGGTTTTTCTCGCTGTTTGACCACTGAAATAACGACTGCAGTTAAAACGGGTTTGTGAAAACCTTTTTTATCTTGTAAGAGCCCGCGCACAAGCCCATTCTGGCAGTTTTCGTCGACATCGCAACCTGTGCGTAGTACAATTGCACTCTAGGTCATTTATATATTTTAGGGCTATATGTTTAATTTTCTACTCTGAATCGCTCAGGGTTATTGCATCACGCCTTTTTTTTAACATGAAGATTTTTTGTTCTACAAATGTACATATAGAAATAAAAGTTGATTTAACATGTAGCAAATAGGCAGTAGTCTTTGATCATCATGTTTTGACTGATGACAGATCACTGATAAGATAGGAAACGATATAAATTCTAAATATAGATAGTTCAGATTATATATTGATCTCCACACTTCAATACCACATTTGTAAAAAATATTGTACTATGAGAGGACAGGTCCCTTGATATCGAGGAACCCATCAGAAGATAAATTTATCATCAGATATTAGATCGTTGTTATAATGAGAAAATCATATCTCATTCAAATATTTAACTATCTGTGATTATCTACCTATAAAATATGACTATCATGTCTTTTCTTTATTGTAGCCATGAACATGACTATGGTAATGAAAATTCTATTACCAATCATCTTAATGAAGATATGCAACATTCTTCAACATCGACAGACAATAATCACATTTCACCATTATATAAAGGTACGTAGTCAAACTTGTTTTTATATAATACTTAATCTTTTTTTTTTTTGCTCACTTCAAAACGTTTGGCATCAGCCTGATCATTTTTTTAAAAAAATTGACCATGTTGATCATTTTTTGACGTTTTTTTTTTACCCTTTTTTTTTTATAGATCACTGCTGTTGCTGATCTCAATTTATGAGAAAAGTGTGTTTTGCTCTAAGAAAACACATTTAAGAATTATTAAACTAAATGTACTCTTGTGTGAACAAAAAGAAAAAGAAGAAGTGAAAACAATTGAATTTCTTAAATGTTTTCACAAATCACGCTTTTTTCTTCTTCTATATATTTAACACGTGTGCAATATTATTGAAATTAAAACGACACATAAATTATGTGTGTCAATAGGGTTCGTTATTTTTTTTCTTCCCCTTCTATATTGTTGACAACAAAAAATATTAACAATAGAGATATAAATCCTTTTTGACAGCTTCATTTATTTTTATTTCACAACAACAACTACAATAAAAAAAGAAAAATAGACTATCTCTTATTTTTCTTAAAATAACGAACGAACAAATAAATAATATTTTTCAGACTAGATTTCTATTCAAATAATTTTATAACTAGCGGTTATATTTGTTCGAAGTACCTTTTATATTGTGTAATTTACCTATCCGTGACAAAGTTATAACAGAAAATCAAGAATTTCTCGAGAATCGATGATTAATTTCTCAAATCAAAAGTGAGTAATTGTTTAGTGTTTTTCAAGCATAATATAGAAGTCTACTAAATTTATATATAGAGTATTAAGAGAAAAGAAAAAAAAAGTCCAATATTATTCGTTTAATGTTTTTCATTTGATAATATACAACGATTTATAAAGATTTATGATTGCTAAGATATCGTGTATAATCTTCCTACGATAAATACAGTGAATATAAAACGTTTTCCTACTGACATATTTCAGTTGTTCTTCTATTTTTTTTTTTACCTGCATGACTCATTCAAACAAGAGAAACACCATGTTTCTTGGTGATTTCTACACATGTATTAAAAATTTTTCCTTCTATTACTGAATAAATCATTTTCTTTTATTTAATTTGCTGACTAGTAAGTATGTAATCGTTTGTATTCAGTAGTGAACAACTTTCGATGAGTAAAACTTATTATTGTTACCAAAAAATGATCGTACATCAAAATAATAATGGTTGGCAAGAAGATTATTTAACTATTTTATAAAATATATTTCTCTTTTATAGTCAAATAGTTCCTTACATAAAGAAATTTGTCTCCAACTATTGTTCTATTTACTTTTGAAAAATGATAGTACATAGAAAAATTTTAACTTCTGTTAGACAACTGTGCAATACCTTGGTATTGTTAAATGATAAAGTTTGTCGCACATTTGTTTCTCTTTTATTTTTATTCATTTTAATACATGTTGGTCCCCCTCTTTTTTTTTTTTTTGTAAAAATATTACTCTGTGTTCTTATGTCATGTATGTAATAGAACAGGAAATAGATGAGCATAGGAATATAGTTAAAATCATCCGCTACATATGAATTTTATATATATATATTCATAATGTCAATTTAATTTCTTATTCAACAAACGTATGTATATGTATGTATGTTTGTAAGTGGAGGTTTTCATTGATATGTAGTACGAGTGTTGAATAATGAGCAAGTAAGAAAAGAAGCATTTCTGTTTTTTTTCACTGCCACAACAGATTGATTTAAGATTTTTGAGTATACTATGGGTAAGTGTTGTTATTTTCGAATTTAATATTAAATTTAATATTAAATTATTTAATTTAATTTTTTGTTTTTCATTATAGATTCATCATTACCCGTAAATAAAGATATTGATTTTCAATCATCAACATCACTTTTGAATGATTATTATCTTCTTCGTCACCATCTTCAACAACAACGACAACAACAGCGAGTAAATCGATCAAAATCAAATAGTCCACCAAATGATGACATACTAACAACAACAACAACAACAACAACAAATAAACATAATACACATTATTCATTAAATGATAGTCTTGATTCAAATATTGAAATAATGGAATTAAGTGAACAAGAATGTATATTTGAAATTGTTGATGGTGTTTTGACAATTGTGCCAAAAGAAAAAACCAAAAATGGAACGGATATGAATCATTTTAATGGAAAACATGATATAAATATGGAACATCAAATGAGAATACAAGAGAAAAATGATGATGGTAAGAAAATAAATTATATATATTTATTAAAATACAAATTAGTAATATTTTTATTGAGTATAGATGACAATGACTTTTGTAAAAATTAGAATCTAACTCGTCCAGTAGCTAGATGAGAAGATTGATTAAAGATGATAATGTAAATTTTTCAATATTTTAGATGATTTTAAACGAATAATGGACCGTTCGGAATCTGTTGCATCATCAATTTCTACACCATCCATATCCGAACATGAACAATCACCACCACCATCATATGCCATCGAAAATATTGAAAATTCAGTTGACAAGAATAATCCAGAACCGTTTATATTATCTCGTAACTTAATGGATACAGACACATTTTCGACGCCACCAGCTACTCACAAAGTGACTGAATTTAACAATAAAACTATTAAATCAGAATCTCATGGTGATAATAACTTGTTAAATTTCGACGATTCGTTATCATCCTGCGCATCATCACGATCAAACTCATTGTCTGAAGAAGATGATCTTTTATCGTCGGTAAACAGTTTAAAAAATGATCAACAACCATCATCTACAACCGAAAAACAGACAAACAAAATGAAAACATCAGTTGATAATCATACATCGTCTCCGCCAACATCACTTCTGATCGATTTAGATGACGATCAAGACGATATAGACACGATAAAAAAAGGTATGTGTATTAGAAAAATATTAGTATAATAACTAAGATGAAAATTAGACACTAGCAGATTGCACGCGCATATCATGACGAAATTTATTTGAAATAGGAACAATTTTTATTATTTTAGAATAAGGCATTCATTTACGTAACAAAAGAAAGATACATATTTTTGTGTAGAAATCGCACAAAATATATTATTTATACAAGCAAATTTTGATTTGATTCAAGTTTTTATACTAAAAAAATAAACAAAAAAAATATAGTGTGCTTGAAATATATCGACAAAAAAATATGTAAATGTGTAATCTCTGATCGAAAATATTATTATTAGTAGAACTATTTTTTATTTGTTTACAAATACTCGCTTAATTATAAAAAAATAACATGATATATTTTAAATGACATCGTCTTTGTTTGCATGAAAATTGAGATCGATATATTTATGAGTATCCGTTGATTTTGAAAATATCAATACGATATAAGCTGTAGTCGTTTGACTCTTAGATAGAATTACATTTCACTGATCTGAATATCTAAACTTATATCTTTAAATTCTCAACAACAGCAAATTTAATATGAAATCTAAAAGTGGAAATATGGGTTTTAAATCTTTTGAAAAAGAGAGAGTTTCATATGTTAGCGAGTATATGGTACATGTTTGACATAGTTTATATAAATACGTCAAGCATATTTCATATATACGTGATAATAGTCATTGTCTTGGAAATATGAGAAGTTGAAAGCCTATTTTGTCTCTATTTTTTTACAACTATGAACAAAATGAGTTTATATTGAACTAACAAAATTTATACTGTATTGTGTTGTTGGATATATACATATCTGACATTCGATTTCGTTTTGTATATGGTGGCATCGGTTGAGTTCATCTGATCTGTATATGAAGGAGAAAAGAAGAAAAATGAAAAAAAAAGCAAACAAGCGAATAAATATATGTAAAAGTTATACGAGGTAATATCACATAACTATCGCATATGGCATGGTATATCAAGATAAGGTCAATTAGTTCTGATTGGTTTATGGTCTATTGATGAGGTACAATATTATTTTTTTTCTATCATCTTCTTGCAATATTTCATTTAGAACTCTTATCAGTAAACACCTATACATTTCTTCTACACAGTTATATTTTTTTGTTCAAATAAAAAAAGAAAAATTTTCATACTATGTCAGAAATCAAAAAGATTGATGAAGAACAGTTTGAACAAAGTTAAAATTTAAATTATGACAACAATTACAACTGCAAGTACATCGTTTATGCAGGTCAAAGCATTTAAAATGTATATAATACGTATGTATGCTTGTAAATTTTATAATTCATCTGGTATACTTCTGTCTCTTTTAAACCATTATGAAAATATTTTGCACATTTCGTGAACTAGTTTCTACCCTAATCTGTAATCAATCAATACATATTCTTTTTCACAAACGAATTTTAATTGAGGTTCATACTTGTGGGACATAATACGCGAACCTTCTGAACTAAAACGCTCGATATGTCATGAATCTAATGATAAAATATGGTTCTTTATCTTTAACCCTATGATCATGGCAAAAATCATTTGAAAATGATTAAGCTGTAATTTTGATTATACATATCTTAACGTAGAAGAAGAGTATTGGATATTCTTTCGTAGATATCCTACTTTACTTGCATTAACTTTGCGTGTCACTACGCGTTTCTCGATAGAATATATCACTAGAAAATGTGTTTCCTATCAAATATATTAGATTAAACATGTCGGTTTATTTTGATAGCAGAATTTTGTAAATTTCGCGTCAATGTTTAACACAGAGTGGTACATAGTTACAATGAGCTTCATTTTGTTGAGAACACCTGCGTCTTGATCACTGGAGAGCTCGTTTTTGTTAATTTATAAATAAAACTTTTTATATAACCCAGTGGTACAAAATCAATGTTTGGCTATTTCGGAAGATTTTTTTCTATCGAAAATTATTCTTATCTGTTCATGAATTTAGCTGTATATCTTTGTCTGATGAAACAATAATAAAATTTAGGTTTTATAGAAAACTATCTATTATTCATTTTATTATTATTCGAAAGACTAAGACATGATACTCACATTTTTTCCATGAAACTAGTACAATGCAATATGCATTCACGAAGAAAATTCTCTCGTCTCAAAACGATATCAAATACTTCTCGTTTGTTGTGCAGAAAAGGTTCGATGTTCGTTTCGGTATATTCTCGTTTTGTCGACTCATTAATTTTTTCTCTCACTCGTCGACAACATTTTGGAGAAACATGAAAGATGTTTATGAGCCCCCGACGCTATAAGATATCGACGAAATAGGAAAATTAATTAATATGTCGACGAATCGGGACACTAGCGTTCGTTTCATGCATGTTCATGGTGGAATTGAAGTTGTCTATCTGTTGTATGTTTATTAAAATCAATTTTTAATTATATTAATCAAATATATAGTGTCTGTCGTTATTTATGCAACTGAACGTTTTGAGATTCTTATATTTCATTCTTTTCTTTATTAAATTAGTTTTGTTATCGAAGACGAAATCTCTGCATTATTTTTCATTGCCAATGGCAAAAGTTTAGTCTCTCTCTTTCTCTCTCTCATTTCACTATATTTCATATATTCTTTAGTCGAATTTTTCTTTTATCTTGAATAAGTAAATAGCGATGATTAGAGAACATGTACAAAATATTTATTTTTTTCGTTTAAGTTTCTTCTAATTCAACTAAAAATTTTTTGTTAACAAATCGAATCAAATTTGAAATATAATATGATAAGTTCGTTTGAGTTATGAGTTAGGAAGCTGTTTTATATACCATTTATGAGCATGTAATAAACCAGTAACAAACATTTTATATTTGACTTTATAGGTATAGTTTTTCTGTATACAGTTGTGATTGAAAGTATTTTATTAACGGAAAACGTGACACATCCTCTCAATAGATGATGAGCATCGGCTAGGAAAACATGATAATTATATGATGAAAATAATCCGTGTGAATTGACACCGAGGTCGTTTAATTTTTAACACGTAGTAAATGTCTGCATTATTGACGTATATTCAATAGTTTTCATTCCTGTTTCTTTCTTATAATCGTGTAACTAATAACTGATAGCTATAGGATGATTATTGAAAATTTTTTGAAATTCAAGGATTGTTTTCTTTAGTGGCTCGCTTCCATATATACTAAACAAGACATTTTATAACCTTTTTTACTCTCTTCTTTTTTTTTTGTCCAATAATTACGCAATAGTACTTACAAAAGATAAACTTAAGCCTCAAACAATTGTTTTAACCACGAAGAGAATGGCGTTTATTGAGATGAAAAGGTTATAGACCCGATAAATTCGTCCTAATTACTGTACATTTTGTTTGAGAATAGTTTCTTAATCGTCGTGTATTATTAGCATCTTTCGATAAGAAATGAAAGAATGTCATTTTTACTTCTCTTCCGCAACAACACGATGTTTACTCTTGTTTTTCTTTCATTCGTGTTATTTTAATATTTTAATCCTTTGATTGCTTAAAGTAATCTCACTAGTAAGAGTGGTATGCTGTTGTTTTGTTTTCTTTTTATTATCATTTGAAGTATTTTTATTTTTGCTAAATCGGTATTTTCTTCCTCTTTCACATTATTTCATTGTACAAGTAAAGAAAGAAGGTATGGATAATTCCTAATCTAGAAAGAAGATTTTAGAAAAAAAAAAAAACTCTAATACTTGTGTGCTTATAATATGTCCAATATGTACATACATTGATAAGTATTTTACATTCTTCATTTGAATTCTGAAAATATTGATAGTAACTTTATTTGTGTTGATTCATTTATCTCTATTTATTTTTCTTAAAAATGTAGAATAAATTATTTTAAAACTTGTCACCTTTCAATATATATCGAACAAATGTTGAATCATCTTTTTTTATTAACTATAACTAATACACGAATATGTATGACTTGAATACATGTGTGTGTTTGTATGTATGTGAACTCCACTTTATACAACAAACTAATGGTGTCATCTCACATATGCTCTGTTTTTGTTTATTAACGTCTGAACTTTATTAAACAAGAGAATCTCTAAAATGTTCAAAAGTCGATTGTTATTTTTTATCTCTGTATGTATAGTCTTTTGCCTCTTTTCTTTCTCTTTTGTATATATATATATATATATATATATGTGAATCTTTTATCCGTTGTAAATATAGTAAAGCACATCCGTTTTGTCTATACCGTATAAACGCGAATGTATCTTCGTTTTCTGTTCAATTTTTAAATGGCATCTCAATTTCGTTTTGTTTTTTGTGCTGAAGATGAGATATTTTGTCTAAGATTAACAAGCTATTCTAAAACTCAACACAGTTTATTTTATTAAAATTTTCGTACTGTTAATGAAATAGAAACCAACTAGATATTTAAAGATGTTCAAGTAAGTTAGTGCAGTATGAACAGTCATAGATGCGAATTTTTTTCTTTTTTCTTTTGATTATTATCTCGCTAATATCCACCATATATTACTATTATTTTTTTTCGTCCATTTTAAAATTGTTTTTTTTTCTGAAAAGGTAACAGAAAAACATGTTATATATATGGTTATATAAATATATCGGTAAAAGAATTTCAGATCATTTGTTTCTTCTGATGTCAATATTAAAAAAGAAAAAGGAAAAAGAATTTTCTTGATTATTGACATGTTCAACAGTAAATGCTATCTACAGTGATAAATATTGCAGTTATAATGAAACAGAAATAGTCATTATTGAGACTTTGCAGAAAGACGATTTTTTTTCTAAGTCATTTGACGCACAAATATCAAAACATTCGACTTTTTTATCAAAATTTTCACGATCCAGTTAGTTAAGAATTTCTTTCGCATCTATTTATCAGTTTTCTTTTTTTGAACATTTACTTTTCCGTTAGCAGTTCAAGGATTATTTTCAAGATAAATGTAAACTTCTATATCGTAGGTTTTATCAAACTTTTAGACTGAAGTTTTAAAATGAAAACAATTTTGTATATAAAAACGAAGACAATTTATTATAATTGAAAAAAGTGTAAATAACGATATGTCGTTATTTACATTTACGTTCGATTTATGTCGATTTACGCTCGAATATGTCGTTATTTATTTACTCTTTTTTCAATTATAATAAACTGCCTTTATATTCTACAATATTATCAGTTACATTTTTACAGTTTAATTTTACCATTAAACCACATAGAGTAACAGTGAATAATTTATGCTTTTTGATTTTTTAGGAGATTCATTTGTGCTTAATGAAAATACAAATGGTTCAAATATCTTTAGTTTAGAGCATACAAAACAGGATATCAACCCTATAAAAACAACCGAATCTACAACGAAAAAAACTTCTCCAGATAGTTCTATTTCTTCATCGTCATCGTTATCATCACCTTTGACAGCAGCCACTAAACCACAACAACCACTTTCATCTTCTGCTAAAAATACCGTTGTTGAACATCAAACACGAAATAATAAAAATAATTTATTGAGTGAATTATTACAAAAACGTCCTGAAGTACAACCAGTCGAAGTTTCAATCAAAACAGATGAACTAATTTCTCCTCTATCTTCATCCGGTGATAATCATCATCAACAGCAACAACAACAGCAACAACAACAAATAACAGAAAATACCGTTGAAGAAAAACAATATCCATTACCAAAAACTGAACCACCACCACCAGCAAAAGCGCTCAGCAAAACTCGTATCAATGAATTTGCTAATTTATTATCAGCATCTGTCCATTTAGCGAAACCTCCCGAACCACAGGTACCTGTCAAAAAACAACAAACACCGATTATTAGACCAAGTTCAGCTAAAAATACTACATCAGCAATACATTCACCACCATCTCCAACCCGTTCAGAAGATCAAAGTTTTACATCTGTACCATCGCTAAGTAGTGATCGTGAGGAACGTGATTCATATCATACAGTAAAATCAAATAATTCGGATAATACAACAATAGAATCCAAACCAATTGATGCACGTTACAGTGAAAAAATAGATGATCGTAAGTTGAAACATTGAAAAAAAAATCATTAAACACAATTTTTAAATCAACTACTCTTATTTAGGAACATCCATAACAATAAAAACAGCAAATATCAAAGCGTTATTTGAACAAAAACTATCGCTAAATGATGGCACAAAATCACTGTCAGCATCCAATGAACAATTACTAAATAATTCATCCGATAGTAGTAATAATTTAACACCAAGACAACATAAACGAGTACCAATATCATATGGTAGTTTAAAAAAATCCATGCAAACACACAGATTAACAAGTATAATAAGTAGAGATCAACAAAACATATTACCTACCCATCCACCACAGTTAAGAAGATCATCACAAAACGATTTGACACACGCAATGAATAACTATGGAAAATATGCGAATCGTACACCGAAAGATGTTGTCATTGAAGATATACCAGTGAGTAGCTATATACTGTTTTCTAGAGTGTTATGTGCTGTTTTCAAGTCCAATGTTACGCCTACCAGATGAAATATGACAATAGTATTTTTTTACAAACGATTTCCAGACTCTTGAATGTTTTAAAACTATTTTTTTTAATGAGCATTCCTTTAACACGGTTTTTTTTCCGTGGTATGCTATATCTTCTTTTCTATTAAACAATCAGAGCTTTATCTGGGTATCAGTAATGCAGAATGATTCTTATTTTAATAAGTCATATAGCTTATCGCAGAATATTCGCTTTATGAGTAAAAGAACTGATTATAATTCTAAATAACAGTGTCGAACAATGTACTATTTGTCAAACAAAAGACTGAATATTCATCTATAGAATTTGTTGCTATATCCTTGTCGGTTAGTTCTAAAGAAGAAACCTTATTTTTTACTCCCATTTCTAATTATAGAAATTGAGAGAAAATGTTTAGGTACATAGAAAAAGAATATCGTGCTCTAAGAATTTACCCGTGCAAATAATGTTTAACAGTTGTTCGTTCAAGTCTCAAAAAAACTTTGATTAAAATTCAATTCATTCTTTCTCTATACATACTAAGATGAAATTTGTGAGATAATAAAATATCAACAAGAATGAAGAATGATGTTTATTTGTTTCAGCCTGAACGTTCAACAGACTTGAATACAAGCGGTAACATGAACGATACATTTCGTTCCAATGATTCAACTTCATCCTCTTCAACAGGCAGTCAAGCATTTGAAAAATTTAATATTAAACCTCAAACACATTCTCCATCAGAATCTTTAATAGCCAAAGAAATACGAGAATTAAACGAAAAAGAAGAAGAACTTAAACGACAACATAAAAAATGTGGTTTAAACTATGATCAACAAGAAAATGAATCGACGATACAAATTGTAGTTGATCGCCCGCCGACTGATCCGGTGCTCAAACGAGAAGCTCGTGGTAGTACATCATTTTTATCCAATTTAGACTTTTTTACTTCAAAAGTAGCATCTTCGACTACATCCTCACCATCATCACATCGAAATTCAATTTCAAACGGCTCTGGTAATGAACGCCGATCATCAGCCACTACAACAGCAACATCGGCAACAATGCCAGTGGACACAACTCTTATTTACGATTCATCGGCATCCTCTACACCATCGAGATCATCTCATCAAACGGATATAACTAACCGTTTACGTGATTCATCTCGTGATCGTGAAGATGAATTAAAACATATCAGTCCCGTTGTCACCAAAGAACTGAACCGTTTCAATGAAAACGGTATAGGATTAGTTCGTACATCATCGACAAATCAAATTTTACATCGTTCATCATCAAATAATACACTACCTATAATAGCGAATGTTGTTCAACGTGAAATTGAATTAAATCGTCTGAAAGAAGCTGAATTAAGAGAATTAGGACGTATTATTCATACATCAGATGAACATTCGGATCCAAGAAAGTATACGGAACAAATAACACAACAAAATGGTAATATACCGAAAAGCCATTCAGTTAATACATTAGTTAAGATCCGACGAGATAGTGGATTTAATAATCGTTCAAATAACGATACAGATTTTCATAATCAAACACGAACAAGTCCGATTATAGCAAATACAACTAATAATGGTATTTTAAAACAGAAAAATGCTATTGGTAAGTGTGTTTTCTAACATATTTAAATGAATAAATAAGTGTATCTGTTTAGCAATAAATTCAAATGATAAAAATATCGTAACTCAACGTAAAATCAATCTAAAAAATGAGAATACCACAAAATCTTCTATTGAACGTCTTGAACAAGAAAAACGTGAATTTCGAGAACGAGAGCAGGAATTAAGGTATTTAATAACAGTGTGTGCTTACTGTAACTCTAATTTTTTATTTTACGTTTAGAAAACAACGAAATTCCACACTGAATGGTGATTCTGGTAATGTTTCACAAGAAGAACAAGAAGATGAAGTAAAAGAAGGTTATTTCGAGAAAATTGAACGTTTAAAAAGATCAGAACATGAAGTACGTAGAATTTTAAAAATGCAAAAAACTTGAAAAGTATTTTATAATGACTATTTTTAGCGAACTCATGCACCACTTGTACGTGGTCCAAAAAAACAAACAAATCTAGCTTCTCAATGGGAACAAAAGGTAGCCAATGGACGAAAAGATGATAGTGATGATAATTAGATTTTCTTGTTTCATATTTCTGAAAAAGGAATACCGTTCTCTCATTGTTATGGAGAACAAATTTAATAATTTATTATTCTTCGTCTACGCTAATGAATTTCGATAAAATTTTAAACAAATTAATAATTCTCTTCTTTTTCTCTTTATTTTAAACTGAAGGAATAAGTATAATTGGTTTTCATCTTTTTCTGTTTTAAAAATATGCTCAAAGCAATTATTATACGGGTTATCTTTTATTTTCGCGCATTCCGCTAACGTCGCATAGTGATAGAAAATGAAGGGAGAAAAGTTTAAAGATAAGTACGTTTACTTCTGAGTTTTCATAATTGAATTATCAGAAAAATTCGATTGATTGATCTAGTTAGTAAGGATTCATACGTATCCGACTCATATTGAAATAATTCAAAAGCTCGTTTAGAAAAAAGAACATTTTTATCATACTATTCAGTTCACAGTCGTTGTCTTGTTAGAATTATCAAGACTGTTGTCAATACCTTTAGATGGTATTATGGATTTGACAAACAGTGATTAAATGTCTCGTGGAAAAGTCGCACAAAGATCACCGAGATAGTCTAATTTTGAAACGAGAAGTATACAGCATTTTATAAGCGGAGTTTTCTTCGTCAAGGTTCGTTGGAAAACTTATCAAATAAAGCATTGTACAAATAAAATGTATACAATAAAATAAACTAAAATAAAATTGTGTGTTTTTTGACGTTCCTTTTAAAGTGATATGTTTGGGAACCCTACATCATATTGTCAAGTTTATTAAACTTTTTTAAAATTTGAACACGTCAACGTTTTTACAAGTATTTTATGCACAAAAAACAAATTTTAATCGGATAAATATGGATGTTTACTAACCATGTCGATCAACAGAATCTCTGACAACTTAATCGCATGAGCTCAGAAGTAAATCGACTGATCCTCAGACTCTTTTTTTTGCTACTGTCCATTGTTCAGAAAAAAAAATAGAAAACTTTTCCTCTTTAAATTGTGACTTTAATAGGTGCTTTAGTGTCTCTTTTTGTCTGATAAATACGATTATGATTCGAATCTGAGAGTGTGTAGCTGTTTGATCAGTTTGTCAAATGATATGATGGCTTAATTCTTGAGTTAGATCATCAAATTTTACTAGAATTACTATTATTTTCTTCACTCTTCATCAGTTTTGAATTTTACATAGTTGCCGGTTTTTTTTAAATCAAATATGTCTTCTTTTCTCAACAAAAAACATTCCATTTTTAAACGCGCGCGCAGAAATTATTGTTTAGTATAATATTGAACATCTTGCTTTTTCTTTATGTACAATTTTATTCTGCGTTTTTTCTTAAAATGATAATCAAAAAGAAGTAGATTTTTTGCTATTGTTTGTTCATTTTGTTGTTGATTTTTTTGCGTTCAAAATATTTTTAACAAAAAAAAAACACGCGTTCTCTATAAGCAAAACATTTTTCTCTCTGTTATGTGATGATGTTTCTTGTCCTATTATTTCATTTTTCAAATTTTTTGTCTCTGTTGTTATTATTTACAATCTAAAAATATATTGTAATAATTTTTGTCAATAAATATATATATACATACAGGTCTATTTAAACCTAATTACAAGGATAAGCATGGAGTCGAATTATTATTGGTGGAAGATTGATATTTCAAGAGTAGCCAGAATCAAACACCATGGGATATGAAAATGATGTGTGGAGAACGCCATACATCTGCTCTAAAAGGAAGGATCAAAATGTTTCAAGACCACCTCTTGTGTAAAAATCATCGGTTTTGTAGTGAAATCCTTTTTTTTCATTTAATTTAAAACCGATTTTTAGTATACTTTTGATATTTGTCACAGAAGGGCAGAGTATGAAAAGAGAGAAGGGCCCACGTTGCAAATCATTTTTTCGACGAAACTAGATGGTCTACAAGTAATTGGCAACGCTGATTCCAAATATGAACGTCGAAATTGTCCTTAGGCTTTTGTTAACCGGTTTTCTTAAAACTGGATCTTCAGAAAACCAGAGACCAAATCCAGAAAATTTGTTTGAATCGGCCATTTGTAGCGGACACAAAAATGTCCATGTTCCATAAGTTTTAGTTTACTGTGCATAAACTTTTGGCCAGCACTGTACAAACAATATTCGTTTTGCTCATAATAATAAATTTCCACTCATTTGCGCTGAATATATGATTCAAATACTCTTGAACTATCAGAATTTTGTTTAAAAAGCGTAAACAGTAGATTTTTGCTCGTTCCTGAATTATTTTAAAGATATCTATTCATATTATTTCATCATCAGAAGCATCTGGTCATAAATGAATCAACCTAAAAAACCTACAATTTTTAGCTTCTTTCATTTTATTACTTTGATCGATCAGAAAGCATCGCCCACAACACATATGTTTGTTGAATATATTGATAATCATATATAAATCATGGATTTTGATATAAGTGATCTTCTTTCTGAGTAAGAAAGAAATTCCTTGTGCTTATTATTGCATTCTTGTTGGGAATTCTTTGATGATCACTCGTCTACCATGTCCATCTAATACTTTGTTTTCCCACTATGATCATATCAGAAATATTCTCAGCTTGTTTATGTCTATTATTCACATAGTTGTAGACGATATGATGTCAGTCTTTACAACTGCATGAGCAGTTTGTTTGAAAATGTTAATGAATCTACCATCGATACCTATTCTATTCAACATGAAAGATTTGAATACATTCATTCAAAATTTAAAAGAAGCAAAAATTTCAACAGAACCGGATAAAGTGTCGAATAAATGAAAAAACATATCGTTTATTCATTATTTCTTTATTATAATTGCATTTACTTGATCATTAATTAGTACCACCACGTGGTCAGGACACCGAAAATATGCAGAAATACTGTTATTACCAAACGAGAGAGATACATATATCTCGATCAAGAAAACAAGACTAATTTGATTATTGTTATGTATGGCGAAAATATACGAAAAATGTTTATTATTTATTTAGGAAAATGGGGAACGATTCATCGCCTTAATTTAGTGATCTTTCACAAGGAAATTGCGTTGGTCCAGCTTTGTTCCTTTTACATCATACTGATTTACCAACATCTTTGAATTCAGCTCATCGATCTCATTTATCTCCACATTTATTCACAGATGATTTAAGCATCATTGTACGCCCATCACCATGGTGGGAAAACAAAGTATTAGATGGACATGGTAGACGAGTGATCATCAAAGAATTCCCAACAAGAATGCAATAATAAGCACAAGGAATTTCTTTCTTACTCAGAAAGAAGATCACTTATATCAAAATCCATGATTTATATATGATTATCAATATATTCAACAAACATATGTGTTGTGGGCGATGCTTTCTGATCGATCAAAGTAATAAAATGAAAGAAGCTAAAAATTGTAGGTTTTTTAGGTTGATTCATTTATGACCAGATGCTTCTGATGATGAAATAATATGAATAGATATCTTTAAAATAATTCAGGAACGAGCAAAAATCTACTGTTTACGCTTTTTAAACAAAATTCTGATAGTTCAAGAGTATTTGAATCATATATTCAGCGCAGATGAGTGGAAATTTATTATTATGAGCAAAACGAACTTCGTTTATATACTTGTATATCTCATGTGCTAAGATCACGTGCAAAGATAATCATCATTTGTGAGAGAGTTCACTCTTAAGTAGACAAAAAGAAAATCGTTTTAATGGCAGTGATTCATTGAAAATTCAATAATTTTAAAATTGTTTTCTAATTATGCTTTTTTCGGTGAAGCAGTTTTGTTCTTTCAACTTAGAAGAATATTCTCTTTCTCTCTTCCAACTTTGACTTAACGCGGTGTGATTGACTTTCATCATCGGTATCATTGCGATTACCGTGACAAATGATATCTAGCTTGATGATTTGTGAATTTGCTCGATATTGATCATTTCGACTGTATGACTGTTCAATGTGAAAAATTCTTGTCACAAAGTATTGACTCGCTTCTTCTGTACGAGAGAATAGAGTTAGCTATACAGTTGAAACCTAATCTAACCTATAAGTTAGGCTATGGTTAACTTATGTACAAACTATTTTTAATCTAAGCAAACCCTGTTTCTGGCCGATACACAAGGATGTTTGTTAGTCACAGAGAAAAATCCGTGGGATCAAACTATGCTCGATTCGGTCTCGGCCCTAGAGCAAAAACCATCCGACGTCTATTATTTTTTAAAGTATCAAAAAATGGAGGAGTTTTATACAGAAAACGAGAAAAAGAGCTAAAATTTTGACATTCAAAGTAAAAGAGTGAAGCGAAAAGAAGATTTGACTTCGGTTGCAGTTTCGGAAACTTTTTCTTACACTGGAGACAACGGCATTTTTTTTTACTAAATTTTGCTGTTTTTTTTGGTATTTGAATATTTGAGCAATAAATCTCAATGATATAAAAGTAAAATTTAAGCGATAATTCTGCGATCGAGTTTTTTTTAGAGATTATCGACAGATTATATTTGGTTAAGCTACACAAAAAACAGAGGCTAGATTAGATCAAGACTAAAAGCTTCTAGGCTAAAATAGATCATAGAAAACAGAAACTTTCACAGTTTATGGTACAGGCTGCCAAAATTATACAACTTGCTCACTTCTATCCAAGATGGCTCTTGATTCTACTTGTACAGCAACAACAATAAACACGAAGAGACAATACACAGAATGTGGTTGTATTCAATAGAAACCCCCGATTCGTCGTACGGTGTCTCCTCTAAAATACATCATGGTGATGTTTCTCTACTAAAATTTGATTATGGAATATTTTCTATGAATAGAGTGTATTGTGTTATGTTCAGAAGAAACGGACTAAAACATTAAATCTTAACAAAACGTGTTAATAATCTTAGATCCACGTTATTATATTTCTTGTTATTGAATAAAGCAAATGAGACTGCAAGCAAAAGTTGAAAACAAAATAAATGAACAACAAATCTGTATTAACAAAGTTACGTAAAAAATTCGAAAAATCAGAGAACAAGAAAACATACAACAAAAATATTATAGAAAATACAACAAACTAGATTTCATGTGCAGAAAAATAAGAGACAAAATGCTTTTAATATTCGAGTGTAAATGACGTTTAAATCTTACCTGACAAAAAAAAAATAATCCCATCACCAAACGGCAACAAATAAAAAGAAAAAATAGTATATAATGTGTTTTGATAAGTTTCTATCCGACAAGCGTCAAGGTAAGTACTAAACGCCAATCAAGATCAGTAAAATATAGTATTTTATGAAATATTGCAAAGTATATTTTTCTTAGCGGAAGTAGCTCACAACTAACAATCGACTGTTCACTGTAGTCGCTCGTAGACGTAAAATGTTATTTCTTCTTCAAAACTTATGACATCAGTTACTAATACATAATTGACAACAATAAAAGACAAAAAACATCATGAGTTTATTTTCGATTTGATAGAGAAAAGGGAAGAGGTAAAACAAACAAACAAACAAATAAATAAATAACAACAAAAAACAGTAAAATATCGTGGAAAACACTGAAGTTTTTTTTACGATTACATTTTCTTGTTCTTCTTCTTTTTCTATTTTAATAATAATTCAGTAACACTCTCAGCATTGATTACTTTCAGATCTTGATATTGCTGACCTGTGCCAACAAAGACAATCGGTTTATCCGTCGTGTATGTCATTGATATTGCAGCACCGACCTATAATAAAATATTTTCCATTTATTGTGAGAATATTGAAAGAAATATTTGTCTTACCTTATCATCAATGGTATCAAATTTTGTTAATACAATACCATCAATTATTCTCGGACTTGCTTGTAATTTGGCATTATCAATCAATGCTTGATTAAACTTTTTTATTTGATCAACCGCTTCATTACCAACAAGTGCTTCGCCAACAAATAAAACCAAATCAGGATTATTGACATGAATCAACTACAAAGAAAATCAAACATTCAATTTGAGCATGCAGAGAGAGAGAGAGAGAGAGAGAGTGAAATAATACAAACCTTAGCCAAAGCGGTCATAAGCGGTTCATTGTCTTGCATTCGACCAGCTGTATCAACCAAAACAATATCAAATTTTTTATCTTTACCTAAAAAACGGCAACAATTTAACATTCTTCTATAAATTTATCTCCTACGTGTAACAAACCATAATTAATCGCTTCCATAGCAATTCCAGCAGCATCTTTGCCATAACCACGTTCATACAATTCAACCATTATATTGTCATTTGTATTGTATATATTATTTAAATGATGCACGTGTGTGCGCAACTGCTCAATAGCACCGGCACGAAATGTATCACAACCGGCAATTAATACACGTAAATCATTGCCAGCTAACCAATAAGCAACCTAAACGTAGAGTCTGAGTTATTATCAGACGAATAAAAATATCAATGTTTACTTTAGCAAGATTTGTTGATTTTCCAACACCGTTAACACCACAAAATGTAATAACATATGGACGTTTTTGTTTTTGTGCGTCAACCACATCACGTAATATATCAATACGACGTTTTGGTGTTAATATCATCATCAATGATTCTTGCATGGCTTGTCTTATGTTTGTATTTAAATTTTGAAATGAACCCAATGTTTTTCCTTGTAATTTACCAGTAACAGATTCACATATTTTGTCTGAGACATCGGCCGCCACATTTTTAGCTAAAAATAATCCGAATTAACTATTAAATATGGCGTCATGAAAGTGAAAAAGTCATTGATGAGCTATTAATTAAGTGTTGTGAGATACAAGGGTCTATAAACTTTTAATGATGGTAAGAATAAAACTCTTTTCTCTGATAAGTTAGATTTCGTACTTTTAAGTTGGTAGTCTTTTTGTCCAGATTTATTAAAAACATTATTATTCTCTAACCTCAAAAATCATCGTATAAAAAAACACTGATTTTCTAAAGAAAACTCTAACATATTGGTCACATTAGCGATGTTTTTCTACAAGATCGGTTCAAACTAGTCTCGACCATCACTTCAACAATTAAATGCTCAAATCATAACCAAAAATTATAAAAATTAGCGAAAACGAAAACAAATTTTGCGGGAACAAAATTTTGGACTAGATGGAAAGTTTAGTCGTTGAATCGAACAACTCAAAATGTTTTGACATATATAAGATCACAAGACGGAATTAAGAGACACATACATAAAATACTTTAATGACAGAAATACAATTATTATAATCACGTTACATAAGAGTAGGAAACACGTACTCTAACAACTTAAATTCTATTGAAAAATGTAATAACTGAGAAAAATTTGACATCTAGTTGACAGATACCATTTCCACTAATATCATTTTCGTATTATATATTGAATATCTATGAATTCGACTTTTATATTAGTAAAATTGCACAATGCATATTTTCTGGTTGATATGAAGTAAAAATTTTCTCTTCTTTCACCTAATTGGATTTGATATGAAGTAAGCAATCTAATTCGTTCAACGTATATGGTATCTCATGTTTTATCTATATATATATATATCTCTATGACTTTGTCTTATTCAATAATTTTTAGATACTATTTTTATATTTGAAAAAACACATCAAATCGAACATATATTTTGTTATATGATTGTTTTTTGTTTTTTTTTGTCAACACAATGGGTACAAAATATTCAAAAAAGAATTTGAAACATATTTTAGAGAAAGAAACAAATACAATAAATCATAATTATCATCAACAACATCATTTGATAAATCGTAAAGATTGTGGTGAAAATAAACGGCCAATACATCAGCAACAAACATTAATAAAAAATTTAGCAGCAATAGCAGCGATAAGACCACAAACATTATGTGATCAAACAACAACACTAACACCATCATTAACATCAGTGTCAGCAAATCAAAACAGATGTCATTATCATTTTAAACAAACGAATAAACATTGTAATGAAATTAGAAAGACACAACTGAAAATTTCTCTAATATCACCTTCTGCAACTGCGCTCCTTTTTTCCACAAATGCTACATCACCAAAAGAACTAGAGAAAAAAGAGAGTAAAATAAATTTAGCAGCAGTGAAAGAGGATATAACTAAAATCGTTGTGGATCTAATAGAGAACAACAGCAAGATGAACGTTCAATATGATGCTGATAATGGAAGAGAGAGTACAGAAATTGAACATATTCTTGTGTCCAAACATGAAACAAATAAACTACAAAATAGTGTAAACGATTCAGACGGTGATATTGACCAAAGTGGGTACAATAATGAAAGTGAGAAGGTAATATCTCAATGAGTTTACTTCACTTTCGCATGCTAAAGTACTTCTATGTTCTTTTATTCTTCTATATGAATACAAATAGAAGTCTTTTAAAAACAGTAAAAGAACTTTCCATTTTAAAATCAAAAACTTTAGCTACATATGGAAGTATATACACGTATATATATCTAAACTTTTCTTCGATTCTATTTTTTCTTTCGAACACTGCAATGTGAATGTTTTATGGAAAATCGAATTTAGAGTACGCATGAAATTGAGCAATCTGAAACGTTATCTAACAACTTTCGTCAAACACAATCTTCCGAAAATACTCTAGAATTACCACAGAATAAAAGTGATGAATTCAAAGTAATTCAACAAGCAACAACCTCAACAATTACTAAAGTATACCAGCCAACTGTTAATCAAAAACAAGTAAAAACCTTTTTAACAGAATTCACATCTTTAAATGTTTTTGATCAAATAAATTCAGAAGAACAACGATATGATGAGTATCCACTTATATTTGATTATGATAGTTTAACAGATAAAAATAACAATAGTGACATTGATGATCAAGAAGTCAGAGACGAATATAAATCCGAACATCTTTCACGAACATCATTAAAAGAAAGAATATCAAATTATTCTCTTGATAAAAAGAAACAGGTTAGTTGTGTAATAATGTGAGATATTTATTGAACAACAGTTGACCATGATACTATTATTTAGATCAATTTAAATGTACAATCGATGATTCATAATCAAATTTTAAATGATAATAATTTATTTACTCATGAACCTAATGATAATGAAAATGATCATCATGACCATTTTCTATTAACACATTTTGATTTTTTATCACAGTATGATGAAATTAAAACTATCAAACAAAAATCGAATAATTTTATACAAATACGAGATATGTATGAGAAAAATCTGGAACAAATGATATCTTTATCATCATCTCCACAACACTATCAGTCAGATTCAATATCAGTACAATCGATACAAAGTTATTTACACGAACTTGTTGAACGAATAAATGATAATGATAATATTTGTCAAGCACATATTGATTTATCCCATAAAAATCAAACATATATTAGTGCTAATAGTAGTATAATTGATCTTAATCAAAACCATTATCCACAAATAAAATCTGATATAACATTTAGTTATATAAAACAACAATCGCTATCAGAAGGAAAATTGAATAAAAATAATGATAATAGTGTAGAACATTTACAATCAAAGTATGAATCAATATCAGAACAGGCAATTGTTTTCAAACAAAAATCGAGTTATCTAAACATACTAGAAAATGATAGAAATGACGGTAATAAAACCACATTGTTCCCATGTTTATTTGTTTATAGAATTCAGAAAAAGATTCGATTTAATGTTTTGTATTTAGAAGGTAATTATAACAAAACAACAAATATTGAAAGTGATTATTATTCAAAACCGACTCTCCTATTAACAACTAAAAACCTACATTATGAACAGAGTGAAACAACTGAAGAATTTCAGATAATGCTTGCTGCTCCCTTCCGATCTGAACAGATCGATAATGATTTAACAAAATATATTCATGAACAAGTGGATATAATTGAACATGATGATGAATTATTCTATCAAAATCAATTAAATAAACAACAACAACAAAAAAATAAAAATAAAAACATTGTTCATCAACGTTCCCAATCAACATTACACGATGAAGAAGATGATGATAATCAACAAGAAACAAAACATTATCAACATGATTTTACACAACAACAAAAATCGACTTATCGTCAACCAAAACATTATTGTTATTGTCGTAAACATCATCCATGCATTCAAACTGATATACCAATTAAATGTGTAAGATCAATGATAAAAATATCAACAAATGATGATCAAAATGTACAGAAAGAAAATATTAAAAAACGTTCACAATCGGATCAACCAACAGTCAAACATTGTTGTCATTGTTTTAAACAAATAATTGAGCGAACGAATAGTGCCTTAAGACGAAGAGAACGACAAACAAAATTGAATGGAAAACAGGAGTGTGAAGATGGGGATTGTACGAAAAAACATCGATGTGAAAAGCATAAATATCATCATCGACATCAAACAGAATTGGAGAGAAAAAATAAGATAAATCACAGTGAAATTAAGAAAACTGTAAATAAATTAGTGAAAAGTGGTAGTCATCGCAAGTATTATAAACAGCCACAACAACCGAGTACAATTGTTCCAGCCACACGAGCTTGCTTCGAATGTAATATATTTTTTCTGAAATATAGTATCACCAATATACTTTGTTGATAAAAATAGAAATATTCAGATATGTTGTTCTTATACGTAGAATAAACATGATCTATAAACTGTCTTATTTTCGTTCTTTTAGTAGAGTCATCTAAATATTACAAAAGTTCTGTACCACACATTCGTCAAATTCCTCCAAAATCGAAACATCATCGAACCAAAGTTGATGAATTTCTTCTGTTAAATTCTTCTACAACTAGAATGAACAATAATAATAGATCTCAAGAGCAACAACAACAACAATCTCAGACTCGTGTAGAAATTGATGAAACATACAGCACATATGAAAATATTCGTTCAAGATTAGAACATAGTCCGTTAAGCTTCAATATGGTGGGTCCATCATCATTACTCGTCTCGTCACGAAATCATAAATCACGTGTCGAACCTTCATCCCCTTTGAATCTACCATCTGTTGGTCGATTACAACTTGAGTCTTATACAGCTATTTATGAGCATTCATTGTCTGATTATGATCAACGTTTACGTACAATGAGAGCAAAACCGAATAATAATCTGTCAACAATGAAACGTTTAAAATCGACAGCAAGTTTATGTGAATATGAGTTACGTGGTTTATCAGATATAACCGGTTTATCAAAACGTACACTAATAAATATATTTAATTATTATTTGAATAAAAATGACGATAATAATTCGAATGAAAGTGATATCGAACAAAAATATCTTGAACGTTATGAATTTGAACAAATATACAATGCATTACGTTCGAAACGACGACGTCGACATCATCATCGAAGTTTATCATTTCACAGTGATGTAGCATTTTATGCATTCAATAGTGATGAGATGGGTGGTCGTTTAACGATACGCGAAACAATATTTTGTGTTATATTATTAACAACCGAAGTTAATCTGTATAAGCGTCTAAAATGTATGTATGATTTGGTGGACAATGAACAATGTGGCTTAATTAAATTGGAACAATTTTATTTTATAATTAAATTATTCTATCGTCTTAGTCAAGGTCATATTCGATCAAGACATTCGATTGATAAAATGTTAGATGATTTAAAAGAACTACTAAACGAAATGATCTCGAAAGATGATCGAAATAGAAATAATAGTTTACAAATGGATAAAAAAACGTTTACTCAAATAATCAGCAGTTATGAACCATTAAAAAAACTATTGCAGCACAAAGTAACGGTATAAACAAAGCATTTTCATTTCCTACTGCATATTTATCGATGTTTTGTCAAATAAAAAACAACTTACTGAGGATTAAGAATTTCAAAACGTAGAAAAGTTTTAAGATATCGGAACAGTCAAACTCATATGCAAAGGAAGAACGGTTGATCTAAATCTGATGAACTGTGCTCAAATTTCCCAATTGTTGAACACACGATGCCTTACTAGACAAACATTTAAACTTATTGTGTACTGGATATTAGAACAAGATAAGAGACACATCATGAAAAGATTTCGTCGTAACGTACCAATTAAATGTTCTCTCATTGTTTCCATGCCAATTTGTATATCTTCATTTGTTAATGTTTTCGATGCAAATACGTTTACTTTTTTCAATTTTTCCCAAAAATTAGTTGCCAAAGTTGATGCAACAGAACCACCCCTGCACGAAAAATGAAAGTAAGTATATGGAATATACTTATAATATTTTGTCATCTACTTACTCGATAGTTAATGCTTTTAGTCCACCACGGTCAGAAGGAGCAGCAACAGTTCCCCCAGGACGCGCATTTCCAGCGGAAGCCTAAAATTATAGGTTCACTCAAGTAATCTGCACCATACATTGTGTGGATCATTCGTACTTACAGTATCGTTTTTTGATGTGTAATCTAAATTTCCTGGATCAGGATTTTCTTTAGACCACAGTTGTGGAGTTTTCTTTTTAGTCGGTTTTTCTGGTTTCGGTGAACGTGAACTAAACACGAAATATATTACAAGTTGGAAATTTTCTAAAGGACTGATTCTTACGTGGCTGTTTTTGAAAATGGTGCTGGTCTTTTTTTCAACGCTAGCATTTTTTGTTCGATCGACGTTGGATTCATCAGAGATTGTGGTGATTGCAAGTCATCGGCGGCTGGTTCTTCTGCTGTATTTTCGATGTGTGTTTCAAGGTCAGTAGCGCTAGCCGGATCTTCTTTCGTATCAGCAATATCAACATGTTCTTGATCACCGTTATTAATAGCTGTATCAGGCGTTATTTGTTTATCTTCATGTTTATTCTTTGTTGATGATTTATTCTTTTTGTGATTTTTCTCATCCGTAGCATCACTTTTCTTAGTAGCAATTTTAATAGTTCTATTAAACTTTGTTGTATCCTCATATTTTTTTTGTGCACGATGCTCGCGTTTGGATTTTTCATCTTCATCTTCAATTGCCTTCAATGTTTCCCAATAAGTACGACGGAACTGCCGAAATGACCGGCTAAAACCACCTTGAATAGTCAGAAAAAAAGTTTTTTTACAACTGAAACAGTATATTCAAACTTCCACATGTTTTAATTATAATTAAATTATACGTACCAATTATAAGATCTTCTTTATATTGATCACGAAACCGTTTTTGTATTTCATCAAGAAATTTGTCAGCATACGATAAACATAATGTTTTTTGATATCCAAGCTATATGGCAGAAAAACAAAACGTGCAAAATACACGAATACTCTGTCAGTGATAGATTCTTACTATAAAAACTAATTCAAATTCATTGTCAAGTTTGTAATGTATATTTCGAGAATTTAATGGATCTACCCATTTTTGTTTTCCACCTTGACCCTAGAATCGAAATATATCAATGTCAGAGTATGAATAATAAACAAAATTTACTTGTAATAAAGCTTTATCGATCGCATCATTGATTGTACGAACAAATTCTGATGATGCTGATGGAACACACCAGAGAACTAGGCCGCCTTTGGTTAAAATATAGAAGAAATCGAGCATTTTTTGCAGATAGAAGCTCGTATCTGTATCTGTATTTTCTAAAAGAAAAATAAACGTATAAAAAAGCGTGAGTAAACGTAATATTATAGATTTTTAACGCAATTTAGCTGAAGAAAGAAAATATAAAATGCTTTTGTGCCTGTTCGGTGCGTTTGTTCGAAAAAAAATCAAACAGTGGGAAAATGTTCTGTTAAACGAAGGAGAGACTCATTTCCAAAAAAATATCTTTTTGTAAAACTGATGATATTCGTGTTTTTTTTTTCTCAAAGATATTACATTAGTTTACTAACTACGTTAAATAACTTAACGAGTGTCACTATCTAGCACTTGCTTCTTATATTTTACAAACTTAGATACACAAGAACCTGAACTTTTACAGCAGCAATTTCAAATGAGCAGAATAAATAAAATAAACGAAACGTTTAAAGTCTTCCTTGGTAGTTTACCAGCATAAATTAGTTACACGTAGCTGAAACTGAATTTATACATGATTGGACGATACTTAAACGCAATAGAAAAGTATTTCTGTCCTTTTTAACAAAAAAAAGAAAGAGTTCCCCCTTAATAGCGTGCGTTCATTTTTTTAAAGAACGCTTGTTTTTCAAGATGAGTATAAAAGTATATAGTCTAAAGTGTGTACTATCAGAATATATATATATCACTTTGCGTTATGTAGAAAGTTATCAGCATATTTCTAGAAGTCTCAAAATACGCCAATAGCAGCGCATACGCTGTGTTGACGCTAGTGTCGTTTAGTATTAATCGCGTCGCGCCTATAGTACATCTGAAGTAGACTGTCTCAAATTAAAAACCTGTGGGACTATTAATTTTGTTTTTTTAGAAACTGACTAGAAAGGAACTAAGTGAACTTCTACCCAAAACCACATCTCGGTAGAAATAGAAGCCTATGTATATATAGTTGAGAAAGATATGCAAGATAAAATAGAAAAGATAACAGGAAAACATGATGTAATCTAAACAGTGGTGTCATAGGAAGGCATAATGAAATAGTGACCACACGAGAAATTCCTGAAGAGGAAATGTTTCTGCTGGTTCTTCTATGTATCTGACGCTCCGCATGGTGAAAAAATTGAGTAAAATTGTGGTTTCAGTCTTTCACTACACAAATGAAAGAAGAAATGGTAAGAAAAACAAAAAAAAGTACAACAACAGATTACTGTGATGTGACTCCAGCTGAACAAAATGTCTTTACAAGTTCTCACAAACTTTGTATTTTCTCGCACAATATCCAAAGTCTTGTTAAAAACTTTGGCTACATCACAGACAAAAACTCTTTTTCTTTCA